ATAACACATAATTATGAAATAGTTACGAGGTGTATCACATTTAAACATCACTTCATAGGTAAACATTATACGCAATTATACTAAAAAAAATTATAAAATTTGTATCAAATTTAATTTCCATTTCATTCAGAATTCACTTTTTGATGAGTGATTCCTTTTAGCCACTACATTAATACAAAAAACGGAGGTTAAAAACGTGAATTGATTATACAATAAATTAGCACAAATGTGTCACGTGCAAGTTTGATACATCCAACTTTAGAAAATTCATATCATATCACATTATGCCTTTTAAGAGCAGAGTGTAAGTTTAAAAAAAGGATTACATAGGTCCATATTTTATACAATTATACTAAAAATTTATAAAATGTGTATCCAACAGCTTCCATTGCATTCAGATCTCATTTTTTGATGAGTGATTCCTTTTAGCCATTACATTAACACACAAGAAACGAGGGTTCAAAACGTGAATTGATTATACAATAAATTGGCTTAAATGTGTCACGTGCAAGTCTGATATATCAAACTTTATAAAATTCATATCATATCACATTATGCCTTTTGAGAGCAGTGTTAAAAAAAGGAGCTCCTATTTATCTTGTTGGCTATGCGAAAGTAACGGTAAAGAGGTATGGTTGGGGAGCATTGTACGGAGATCTGGAGTTAACTGTCACTATTTGCTTTCTGATCTAAATTGTGGTTGTCTAGAGAACGCATTATTGTTTTCGGATCATCATCAAAGATGAATCCCATTTGTGTTGCTTTAATTAACAATTAAACAACAATTAAATCAGTTAAATAAAAATTTAGCAATTAAATCAAACCAAGTTAAGTATTCAAATGATCAATAAACATACGTATCATACAATACAAGCATAGGGTCTTTCAATGGAGCAAATTATAGATATTGATTTCGAGTGAAAGACAACAGATGGCGCAACATACAACTTTTCCATGAGGTTCAAAAGTTTTTTATGCATAGAGAAAAACTTTAATTAAAACTTAAAATAGCAGATGGCGCTTATGTCAAAAGGAAATAACCATTGATTTATTCGAATTATTGAAATAGATCAATGAGGACTGTAAAAACGTAATTGTAACGTAATTGATATTCATTGCATCACAAATCATGCTCCAGTTGAGGGCCTTAAATCCTTTCAAAAAAATTAAAATTAAAAAGCATTGAACTTTCTTTTACCCATTGGGGCGTAACATGTGGCGCCATCCATTGTCACTCATTGAAAATAAATATTTAAAATTGTATCCTTTTTTAAAAATACACTGTACATTACGAAGTTTTTTTTTGTTGTTGTTATTGAAAGAGCACATATTGACAAAGTTTAGAAAGAAGCATTTTGACAATTTCTACATTTAGTAGTTTTAGGAAAAAATGGAGAAAAAAAATTATATATTTTTGGAAAAAATACTCAAAACGAAACAATTTAAGGTAATCTAATATCATGACAAGAATTTCAAAATTTTTACATTAAATAGGAGCTTGCCTTTTTTTAACATTTTAATAGTCCGTGAAGTTTAAAAAATTTAATATATAACTTCATATCTAAAAGACAGAGCTTAAATCTATTTTTCTATACTTTTGAAACAATTTATGAGTAAGTACATAACATGGACACATAGTGTTCGTTAGAAAGTTTAGTCCATCAAATATAAAATCACGTGTGTATATCTTTAATATCTACATACAAATCATTTCATCAAAAGCAATACCACCATCTTTTCCAGTTTTTATAGCAGATATTTCCTCCTTATATCGTCATACGGGGTAACTTAAGCCACTGGAATAATTGAGATATTTTGCTAGCTAAATAATGAACACTGATTTTAGCAACACTGTTTAGATTTTTATGTCATGTCATTCGTTGCATATTGTGAAATTTTAAATCAAATATTTTAATACTGTTTGTTCATGTTTTCTTAAAGTCTATCTTAAATTTATGCATACCATAGCTTAATTACCAAGTTAGTTTTTTCAAAAGTTGAACTCCATAAAATCTTTTTTAAAAATTATTTAAAACATTTGTTACATGACTGATACTTACCTTGTTGCTTGTCTTTTATAAAAGATTTTTTTTGCGTCTTATTAAATTCACCGTTTATTCAGTTTATTCCAGATAGAGTTTTAAAAAACAGTCCTCACTAATTAACTAATTTCATCAATTAACAAATATTTTAAATTGAGAAGTGGCTTAAGTAACTCGGAATGACGTCAGCAACCTATAAAAGGACATCTGCTGAACATTTTATTTTATAAATGGTATAAAAAATTCAATATTAATTACCTTAAAATATTTAGTTGTTTGTAATAATTATCACAAATCAAATGTATTTAAATAAGATATTCATTCATTCAAAATACCTTAAATTACACATTAAATTTTCTTCAAGTAATAAAAAATAAATGAAAGATTTACAATCGGTTCTAAATTCGAAATAATTTCATATAGGCGTGTACGCATTAAAATAAGATATTAATTCATTCAAAATACCATAAATTACACATTTAATTTTTTTTCGGAAAATAAAAAATAAATCAAAGAATCGCAATCGATACTAAATTCGAAAAAAATTTATCTAGGCATGCATGTATTTAAACAAGATATTAATTCATTCAAAATACCATAAATTACACATTTAATTTTTTTTCGGGAAATAAAAAATAAATTAAAGAATAACAATCGATACTAAATTCGAAATCATTTTATACAGGCAATTTCAGCATATTTGCTTATTTATGGTGTCAAAATATTAATTAACACTAAATAAATTAATGCTAGAATAATTAATGCTAGAATAATAAACACTATAATCATTAACATTATAATTATTAATATCATAATAATTAATACTATAATAATTAATAATAAAATATATAACTCGGTCGTAGTAAATCCAAGCTATTTAACAACAGTAACTATTTAAGTACTCGTGCTTTCTATTACTATTTATCCTTAATTCTCAGTTCAAAGGCATATTTAGCTGTAAAAATATAAAACGAGTTTTTTCTTTATATTCTTATCATACTTTAACAATTCAGTAAGCCATCTACGTTTGTTGGCATAACCTATTTACATGGTTACTTATCTGATTCAATGTCATAGAAACGCTCACTCAAATTTTTTAGCTGTCCTTAACTCTTGTCTAATAAAGTTGGTTTCAATTTTATAGATATCATTCAAACAAAGATATCAATGTTGCTTTGTAAGTTATTAAGTTCATTTCCAACCTTTAATACCAATATATTGGGCCATTCCATAAATAACATGACTCCGAACAGTTGTAAAGTTTCAAAGAAGTGGAATAAATTATTGGTACACTGTCAGAAATATCCAAGCGAATTGCATCAAGAAAGCGCTCAATATACACCGAAGAGCCATTACATTATGACCACCCTCCATAGATAACAATGAGCTCGCCCAGCTTTTCATGGTTTCTCGCCCAGGAACAATGTCTTCATGGGGCACATTAGGACCCATAATCCTCATAGAACAATCCCTGACGTCTGTAAGCTACTTGAACATAGTTGCAGACCAGTTTCACCCAATCATTCCAACAGTTTCTCCTGCTGGGGATAGTGTTTACCAACAGGATAATGCACCATGTCATAAGGATCGAATCGTCATGGATTGGTTCGAGGAACATTCCAGTGACTTTCAAGTCATGTCTTGGCCCTCAAATTCACCTGACCTTAATCCAATAGAGCATTTGTGGTCCTACTTGGAAAACCATATTCGTGCTGCCGCGCTACCCCCTCACAATGTGAAGGAATTGCAGAACCAGTTGGTGAGCGCTTGGTATCAGATACCTCAGACTACCTATCAGCACCTTGTGGAATCAATACCACGGTAAGTGCTAGCGATTTTGAGGGCTAAAGGTGGTCCTACATGGTTTTAGCAGGGTGGTCATAATGTAATGGCTCTTCGGTGTATGATGAAACCTTAATAAAGAGCCAACTTGAAATAGAGTATCGTACTTCTTAACAATGTTTTTCAAGTAACTTTCGCATATAAAATATTTTTAAAAAAGACACAGGTACAGTGCTTTGCACTTGAGACAGGTTATCACTTTAAACTATGTAGGGATACTAAACAAGATAATTTGGAGGTAGACTGTTCAACTTAGAAATTCTCCGATTTAGCCAAGATATTCATTGTTTAGTTGTGTACAATATGTCATTCCTAGAAAAGCGGTTTCTCAGCGCTCACCCCCCAATGAGGTGAACCGGGTTCGAATCCCGGCAATGACTGGTTAATTCGAATTCCTCACCTGGCTCGCTCCGACCACAGTGCTGACATAAAATATCCTCAGTGGTAGGCTGATCATGGGTTAGAATCCCCTTGCCGTCAGGCTAACCGTAGGAGATTTTAGTGGTTTTCTCTCCATGTAAAGCAAATGCGAGTTAGTTCCATTAAAAAGTAATCCACAAAGGCGAATTTCTCCCTACGTGATCCAAAAGTTTCCTTGTCTTCTGGATTGGGTTCGAAGTTGCAGGGATACGGAGTTGAATATTGATAGTCGTAAACTGAAAATTCGGTCAGCTGTTCAACGACGGTTTTAAAATAAAATAAAATGTGACATTCCTGAAAAGTCCTAGATGTACTATTTTTTTTAAAGGATTTTTTCGAAAAGTAAGGTAAAACCGGGTAAAAATATTAACTCTATGGAAAATTTAGAAATAATCGAATTTTAGTGTAAAAGTAATAGTAATTTCTTTTTTATATGACACTTTAAGAAAACTGAGCTTGTAATTTAATGTTGCTGTAGTCAAAGCCATACTCAAGGTACCGGGATTGCTCAGGGGAGTGGGGTTGGACCGAAATTTCTTACAAAAATACATTGTTTATTAATTAGTTTGTTTGAAAAGAAAATTCCAAAAAATATCCTTAGATATCGATAAAAACTGCAATTTTATATAAAGAGTTTCTGTAATTTTATATAAACTGTAATTTTATGTAAATTCTTAAAAAAATATGAAAGTAGGGCTTGTTGTGCCTTGAGGAAGAGGCTTACAAGGAATTTATTCCTTGGATCCACAAAATCTTTATTCAGCCTTGGATGTCGGTATCTTCCTCTTCCGTTGTACTGCAGATTTCGCTACCTGGGCGCGAAATCAAGCACTTCACTGCAGAACAGTTTTACGAGGACCTCTGTCGCTTCGCAATTTGATCAAAATTGTCCCACCCACAACTAGTGCTGCTTGACATAGGAGATTTATTAGGAACCGCGTCTTTATGATCAGTCCACTGTAGGACCGATAAAATAATGTAACCTCTTAAATTGGCTTATAAATTTGCTACATGCATGTAGTTTCTGGTTTCTCTAACACTTTGCATTGATGTAACTAACAAATGCATAGAGATTATGGAATGACCCAGTATATGACTAGCAAACAATTTTGTAATGACTTTGCTCTGTGAAAAAATGCCAAATTTACATCGAAATCGATTCTTCAGATGACAGAAGAACAGCTATTAGAATATAATAACTTTACGAGCAGATTTGCAACTAACAAACATTGAACCAATCAATTTAACATGCACCACTAATGGCGATCAGTGTGAAGCACATTTAAACATTTACAAGACATTTAAATTATCGCAAGATCTTGTTTTGAGGTCGCACTTTTGTAACAGTTTGTCCATGAAACCTTTGGCCTTGTTTGTGAATTTCATTGATTTGGCAATAAAGTTCTTCACCGACGTTCGGGAATTCTGGTGCTGCTGTTTTTTCAGTCGAATTTGAGTAACAATGCCTACAAGTAATTCGTCAACATTGTGATTAAAACCTACAGAAGTCTCGATGTATTTGATGTCGTATCTGTCAGCAAATGATCTTCCTTCTGTAAAATGAAGAAGAAAAAAAAAGGTAAGGAAAAGACATTTACTTTTATTGAGATTTAACTCATACGTATTCACATGCCACTTGGGAACAGTTCTTAAAATATACCATAAACTTAAATGTTTTCGACATAAATTTTACAATGTTTTCAACATAAATTTTACATAAATTATTTTTAAATCAGATCACGTCCTGGATCATCATTCTGGGAGAAAGGCTACCGACAAAGTGAACCATCATCTATCAAAAGGTATCTTTATATAGAATCGAGTTAACAAGTCTTATATACTAGTGAATGGGAATTGAATAGTTGTAGTGGTAGTCGCGACTACCTGCATATGCTGATGATGTCGATATAATTGTTCGCTTCCTACCTGCCCTGAAAGAGGCATTTCTTGATCTTCAGGTGGCTGCAAGGCAAATGGGCTTAGTCATAAATGTAGAGAAAACAAAATATATGTTTTTCTCAAGAAACAGAGTCCCAGACCCCTATCTTGAAATAAATTCTTATAGATTTTGAAGCAGTAAGGAGTTTTACTTACTTAAGATCAATTATTACCATTGACAACAGACTTACTCCTGAAATAAAAAACCGACTCTATCTCGCAAATAGGACTGTCTATGGGGTGAGAAGATTTATTAAATCTAGGTTCCTTTCTAGAGAAACAAAATTCTTGATCTACAAAACTCTTGTCCGACCAGTCTTGACATACGCTTCTGAGGCTTGAACAAAGACAAAACAGGAGGAAAACTGTATCGCAACATTTGAGAGAAAGATTTTGCGGAGCATACTTGGTGGTGTAAATGATAACAATAACTGGAGAAGGAGGTTTAACTTTGAACTGTACAAGATTTATAAACAACCTGATATTATTAAATACATAAAAATAAATAGAAGGAATTGGATGGCCCACGTGATTCGAATGAGTGATGACAATACAATAAAAAATATACTTTTTTTAGACCCACTGGAACAAGAAAGCGGAAAAGGCCGCGGTTGAGATGGGCTGACTCAGTGGAGTCTGATTTCCTAGCAATTAATGAAAAGAATTGGAGATCAAAGGTGAACCAGAAGTCGTCATGGAGAAATCATCAGAGGAAGGCATTGACTCACATCGGGCTGTCTGGCCAACTATGATGATGATGATGATGAGTGGTAACCGCGCTACAAGTCAATTTGTGAACCTTTATTGAAGTGGCAAACTTCGAGTCTGAAGTCAAAATCTTGCCATACTCACGGCAACATACCACGATCAATATAACGAAAGCGTTTGTTAACGTTCGTCGTAGTTCTGAGTTCTGGTGAATCACGTGGTGAAGGATGTACTAACACATAATTTTTTAAGTAACTCCATAAAAAAAAATCACAGGGGGGTCAAGTCTAAAAAGCGAGGCAGCAATAAAAAATCGATTATCATCGCCCGACCAGTGAGCAATCTGACGACAGGGAAGCTTATTATTTAGGAAATCATTGAACGTCTCTCGGATAATGAGAAAAGATGAGTGCCCTATGCCGTTGAAAAATGACGCCTTATCACCCGATTATTGTGGCATTAACCACAGCTGCAGCATATTAAGGTAAACAATGTCATTGACTGCAAATTGACTTTTGACTTAAAGTCTGTAGCATCACCTAAAGTTACATAATATACATTTGTGAAAAAAAAAACCTGTGATATTTTTTTATCAGATAAAATAAAACTTGTTGAAATATTGGAATTATTTTGTTGGTTGTAAATCTTCCAAATTGCAGACAGAATTGTGACACACCCTGTATTTGCATAGGGTACTAAAATTTTAAAGATTTCTTAATTAATTCCAATAAACAGAAGTTTTCTGATAAGATTTTTTTAGTTCTTTTTCAACTACTGTCAAAATAATACTGGAAATTTGCAACTTGGACATCAATAGGTTAAGTTCACCGTTAAAATAATGAACTTCAAGATACTGGAACAGTTATTAAAGTCGTCTTTTGAAATGCTCTTCAGTTTTGAAGTCGGTTCTTAATGTCTTGGACATCCTTTAACTTTATTCTTTTAACAAATTTTTGTTTCGGAAAGAAGAAAAATTCTGCAAGAGATTTATCCGAAGAGTAGGTTGAATGATTCCCTTTCGCAAATTCCGAAACCTACAAGAAGAGGACAAGGTTTAAAACGTCGATGACAGTAAAAAAAATACCTGCGCTGAAATTCAGAAGTGTTTCGAAAAACAACTTCAAAAACTGTTTCAGAAATTTATTGAACCGAGTATAAAAGTGAATTGTGGCAGGCGACGATTACTTCGAAACTTACTCATCGAGTACTTCAACAAAAGATAGTTCAAGAGTTATAAGATCATTCCTAGAAATTAGAACTCGAATCTGAAATTAGAATACTCATAAACAAAATTGAAAATTGCTTAAAAAAGCATTTAAATGTTTGATTTTTTATACGGAAATTGAAAAGATTCAAGAATTGGTTATAGGGCCAACTGATGCAAAATTGACTTTATAACAAGCATTGCAAGAGACACATATACATAAGAATTATTTCGAAGATTTATTTCATACCTCCTGAGGGGATGACTCTACTTCGTACCAAATCGACCTTATTGGCTACTAAAATATAGACTTTAGGTCCTAAATTTGGGTAGATGTATTGGCATTTGGCTTCTTTTCTTCGGAGTTTTTCAAGAGTTTGAAATGCAAATGAGAGAGTCTTTCTATTTGTAACGGAATAAACCAACAGAAAAGCATCGGTTGAAGCAAAAGTGGAATCTTCTACCTAAAAAAGAAACATAAACTTAAATACAGGGTTTTCAGTAATAACCGCCTTTAATACTTATTTTAAAATAAATGTAAAGTATTCCTATAAAAGCCCATTATTAGTCAGATAAATAATTTAGATCAAAGTAAAACAACCCTTACAAAAATTTAAGATATTTTTTTGAGATTTATTTATATGAAGTTGTTTGGAGGTGTCAAGGTTGATTTGAGGTTTATTTGAAATTGATTTCAAAAACAACCTTAAAATATCAACCTGCAAAGGTGTATGCATTATCAAAGTGTATGAAGTTGTTTTGCTTTACACTTGAGGGTTGTTTTGAGATTGATGGAAATCTACTTTAGAACAACCAGCTTAGGGAGGTTGCTTTTGAGGTGTACGAATTATTTTTTCTACACGCAAGCAAATACATATAATTGAGGTGTGAATAATTTCCCTCGATCTAAACCGAAATTATTTCTGAAGCATATATGAGGTTGATTTTGTGAAGCATAAATGAAGTGTACATAACCTCATTTTCTACATCAGGTGTATTTTTTTACATCTGTCAACCTCAAGAACATCTTATGTTTTTGCAAGGGAATTCTGTGACAATGTTGCGTGTAGTAAGGAAATGTGCGAAGTAATGGAAGTAAGAATTGCAGACAGATGCTCCAGACAAGATAATACCAATCTATCTGGGTGGGCTTAAATCCACAACCGGGAATCTAATTCTAGTGCTTCAATAATACAACTCAATGCTTAGCTAATGAGTCATCACAACGCACTAGAGTCCTTGTAAAAACTGTATGCATCCCGCATTATACACTATCTAATAAGTATTTGGACACGTGTGATTGAAAAGAAAAACAAACTTTATTCATAATCAATAGCTGGTAAAGCCTCCACGAGAGGCAAAAACAGCGTGAACCCTCCAGGGCATACTTTCAACAAGTCCTTGTGAGATGGCTAGTGGTATTTTCTTCCACTCTGCTTGGAGAAGATATGTAAGTTCCTTCACCAATTTTGGACGGGTAGAACACCCCTTAATTCGGCGATCCAACTCGTCCCAGAGGTTCTCGATATGGTTCAGGTCTGGCCACTGGGCAGATCAGTCCATTCGATAACCCCATTGGCACCATGCCAAGCCTTGGTGGCCCCCACAACATGACAGCTGGCATTCATTGTTGTCTTGGAAGTAACAGGGGTTCACCCACTGCCACAACGTAGGAAGCACATTGTCATCCAAAATATTGCAGTAGGCATCTTGCATGGGACTAATGTCGATGTTGTTCCCTACACGATATATGCCGGCGGAGGGCGTGACGTATCTCAGGACCGTAGATATAGTCATTTGCATAGGTGTCCAAATACTTATTGGTAGATAGTGTATACTGCACCTTAATTAATAAAAATAGTAAATCTTGTCTGATGCACATGGGAACGGAAGTAAAGTTAAGCATACAAAAAAGAAAGATAACCTTTCAGGACATAGTGGAATTCCTATAGGTATTCCATAAAAGTAACTCGTAAAAGCAAGAGTATTTAGAAAACACTTCTTTTAATGTATATATTTTTACAATCCTTATTGAAAATGAAGTCAAAATGGAATATAGGCTAGTGCTGTCAAGTCAATTCGTCGCTCTCAGACGTCGAAGTACATAACATCAGGCATAATTCGTGGTGGGTACTATTCATCGAGGTGATAATTCTCCCTAATCACAAATTATCGTTGTGGCAATTCAACATTTAAAAGAAGTTATAACAGAAAAACCAGAAAAACTTTTATCCTAGAATCGTTTTTCTTATTAACCATACAGGTACTTATTAACCATACTTATTAACCATACTTTTTTCTTATTAACCATACTTTGCACCCGTCATTACACATTGCTCCAGATCATGGGCCTCCTCGTCGAAGCAAGTGTTGCCACTTTGTCGTTACCAAACCTAAGCGCCAATCTTTTTACTGATGCAGGTCACGTACGCGCACAGGGTCCTCAGTATCACTTGGATGCCCCCTTACGGGGCGGGACAGGGTTAAGCTCCGCTTATTAACCATACAGGGGTTTGGAAAATTGCCAATGTTGGCACAATAGTTAATTGTTCAACAGAGCGATTATGAAGTATTTGTACAATTTCAAGCTTTTAATTTTTAAAAGCGTATATATAAATTTTAGAAATTATTAAAACATCACCGTAAAATGGGGACAGATTGTTTAGTGAAAATTAAACTTTTCTAAAACAAAAACCTATCACCATTTTCTAAAGAATGTGGTATTAGATTTTTGCTGGTTTTCAACAGTACCGTTTTTAAAAGAAGCCATTTCGTTATTTTACTAAAAAGAATTTTAAAAAAAACCCTGCAAAGCATACATAATTTCGTTATTGATATTGTTATTATTAATATTTTCATTTAGTTTAAAACGCGATATTTTAATTTTTTAAATTTAGAACAATTTAGTATCATATTTTTTTTAACCATTATAACTGTTCTGTTCTATCAAAGAAACTGTGATGTAAGAAAGAAGAGATGAAAAGAGAAAATAGACCTTCGGCCCACTCTATACACCTCTAAACATTCAAAATACACCATTATTCCAACATTATTCTCCTAAATTGAATGCAGTCAGATTCAATCGAATCTTAACTCACGATTTTTCTAATATTTGCTCCAAGCAGCGCCGATTTAATCATTCTAGCACATAAATCCTCTACGCAAAACTGGAAATGCTATTACCTGAGTAAAAATAAACCAGATGAAACGGAATTCTTGCCACATGTTTCGAACTTAAAGAGAAAATTCTATAATAAATATTCAAATAGTTTCTCGCCAATTTCTACTAAAATGGAATAAAAAGAGGGATTTCAGGAGCAACTTCTTTATGACCTCTCTCTTACGACCGCCAACTGTGACAAATGATTGACTAGTTAACTTCAATATTAAGCCTTAATGGTTCTGTTTACTTTGTCAGAGACTCTTTTAATCTCCAGCTGATTGTTCAGTAAAAGAAAATTATTCACTTTTGTTTCGTTATCGATAGAGTTTTGGCGCCTCTGTTGATAATCGAAGTTAATCAGTGTAGTGTAAATGAGTGGAAGGTGTTATACATGTTAAATATTTTGTTAGATATGACGTTGACCTCTGGGTAACAAACAATGCTTGTAATACTTGGTAATGTAAAAAATTCCTTTGTTAAAAAAAATTGGTTGGAATGCTTGAAAATGGAGCCCAGTTTCGAGACTCAACAGACGGAAATGAAGAAGACAGACCAGTTCAGAANATATATAAAACTTGGAAAAAATAATTACAGAACAATGAAGGAAAAAAAAGGGGGGGGGAGAAATAATAATAAAAATAAAAATAGTAAGAAACCGGGAAAAAAATCAGAAAAAAGGAAAAAAATTAATAAAAATCTGGAAAATAAAATATATAATCTTTTCATCAGCTCACATGATTATATCTGCAGAAGGGAGTGCTTTCTAATATTATATCAATATGGCTAAAGCAAAATATATCATTACAATAGTGTGAGGAGCTCTAAGAAAAAATTTTACAAAAAATTTACAACAAATAAAATAGAACACATTAAGTAAAAATATCACGTGAAAGCAGAAAATAAAATATAAAGAAAAAACGGAATAAAACATGACACGAAATTTATAAAGTGAGTAGCAAGTTCAAATGAACTTACATGAACGGGAAATTTTTCAAGAATGATTTAAAATATTTTCGTAACAGGATTGCCAGCTTGCAAAATATGAAACCAAAAGCACAAACTGAGGTAAAAGCGTAAATAGAGGGATTTTGTATTAAAGTGCGTTCTTACTGCAGTACTGAAGTGCGTTTAATTTGTTAGTTACCAAGAATGGGCCCGAAAATGAATGTGTGCAAAGTAATATTATACTGGATAATTTAAAAAAGTTCACAATTAATAATTTTAGAAAATTAACAATTATTTAAGAAAAAAATAGAAAAGAGAAAGAAACATGAATTGCCTGTTTTGCACATAATTTTAGCCGTGGATTTGCCCAAAATGGATTTGAACATGGTGAAATTATATAAATAACCAAAAAAAAAAATTTAGTAAGCCTATTTACAATAATATGCAATTAACTCAATGATTTTATATAGAATTTAATTACTTAGTTGGGTATCCATTGTTTTTATCAAATTTTGAAAGAATTGGTCTATTTGTTTTTTGGATAAAAAAAATAATACGACATATTCTTTTAATTCTATTCATTTCATTAAAAATGGTATTTAAATAGCTGTTCTTAGAAACATTAGAATTCCTACCTAGAAGCATTCTTCCAAGAAACATAATTAACGCCGGATAAAAATGCATTACATCAATATAGATCAGTCTGCTAAGCTTTTCATTTTCTTGCCCTTATGTTTAGTTTTTCAATCATTCTTCAAGGTTACGTTTGAATAAAAAAATTTAAAATTGTTGTGTCTGCAAACAATGAATATCGTATGTAGGAAAATTCTATGAATTACAAAGGGGAACAAATTTTTCATTGGATATATACAAATACTTGGTCTTACCTAATTTGGTTGTCGGTATTTAAAATCTGAAATTAGTTTTGTTAGAAAAGCTTAAAAAAATTTCTCAAAATGATATTTTTGGTTACGTTAATTTTTGGCTGACTGTCCAAGTTAATAAAGAACGCACAAGCTTATATACATGCTCATATACTTATCTGATCCTTATAACACTTAGAACAAAAAACATATAACCCTAACGTCATAATGTCATCATAAACTAAAATATATTATCGCCATCTTCCTACCACTCCCTACGTAACAGAGCAGTAGGGACACTTAGAAATCACTTGAGGGAATTAAAATAAAAGCACGCTTTTTAGGAACATATTAATATCGATAATCGATTATTGATTATCGAATAATCGATTTCGATCGGATTGACAGCAATTTATTTTTCGGGAGGGGGGTCGATTGGCACAGCGAACAGGGAGTGAACCTCTATCAAATTTATATACTTCTTTATTTTACT